ACATAAAATCCCTCCAATTCTTTGAAGTTTGTGTTTGTAACATGACACAATTTGAATGCTATGTAAATTTGTAACAACTACTAGTACTACCTGTTGCATCAAACCGTTTTAGTTGTTTGTGTTCTTGGTTTTTAATTATGTATGGCCATCTAGTGGCTGATGCCGGAACTGCTTAATGAAGTCTGAGTGTAGTTAAAAAGACATTAATTTCTGTTTCTTCAGCTATCGGCTCTCCGTTCAAGCCTATGGAAAGCTATCAGTACTCGGGTGAGGAGACTACACTGGTGTTCAAACATTTCCACTCTGTTAATAATAAATACTTGTTATCCATTCACTTTAGTAACTTCTGTAAATAATGAGCAAGTCTTTGCTTTTCACTCTTCTTCCTCCAGCTGTAGAGCGCAACAACTTGATGAGGCTGTCTCAGAGCATCCCCTTCACTCCTGTGCCCCCTAGAGGTGAAAACACAGTAATACACCAGTCCTCACCTTTTTGACGGCTTCATTAATAACCAGCGAACTGTTTGAGAATGAGGAAGCATGAAGGCAGATAAGAGATCTCTTCTACTCCCACTGCCGTTTGCTTCGCAGTGAATGAGCAAAGTGTCGGTGCTGCCTTGAATGTTTCGTCTTTTTTTTTAACAGTTATTATGACTTTAAAATTAGATTACTTCTTCTTTCGAAAGAGGAAGTGCTGGTTTTGACAATGAGGATATGATGTTTTGACGGCTACAGGTGATGGGTTTTCTTTTTTAATTAGTAAAATAACTTAAGTCATGTAGAGGCAAACAGTGGTTGTCATGGTGCTACCCTTTTAAAATCATTTAGTATGCAGGTCATTTAAAGGATAGGTAAAAATGTATATAGTTTCATAAAAACTAATCTGGAAAAGCTAAATATTTTCATTAGGAAAATATCTGGAATTCTGGGGAAGGTTTTAGGAGCTGGAAAACTAAAATTATTCAGCATGCATTTTTGTTAGTGTTTTTTTAGGTGAAGGTTTTATGCGTTTGGTCTTTTTAGGTCAAGGCACAAAAACCGTCACATGTGCAGGCGGTTTAACAGTTCAGTAACACCATGACAAGTTTGACTCGTCACTTTATCTGTTCCTTTTTTTTGGTCTTTGAGCACAGCATAATCTAACTGTGCACCTCATTGTTCCACAAGATTGTAAAATGAGTTTATTATTGTGTCGCATGCAAACTCACAGCTATTTTCCGCCTCTGACCTCCGCATCATGACTGCTGAGAGACTCACCTCTAGTCTAAATGTAGCTGAGTTAAAAACCAGAAGAACTCGAGCAAAGGTTCTCAGTTCTAAACTTATACGGAGCATTCACATCTGTTTTTTTTTTTTAAAGCAAGTTACAGTTCTCTTTTTATTTCTAATTGATTTTGTACTGAAACATTTTTGTTATGAATCATTTTGAAACTTTTTTTTTTCCACTTCTCATTCCATTTTCTGTAACCTTTTGACTACGGAGCCCGTGACATGGGAAGGAACAAAGACGTGTAGGAACTACTTGTTTACTTCTTGGGAACGAGATAATTTGCATTGTTGCATGGACAAGTGTAATCTAAAACAAAAACTGTTATTTATTGGCCAAAGTTTCAAACATTTAAATGGGTAGCATCTACAACATGACCGTTATTTAACAAGAGTTGCCTGTGCATTTTGTAACAATTGGTGTAAAATTTAATTATTTTCTTGGATATTGTGACGGAAATGATTACAAAATGCGTTCAATGAGTTTATTATATTCTACGCTGATTATTAATGCCGTTTTAATAAAGTTTTAAAACATTTTCAAAGCAGAACTCGTCATGCGGCATTAGAGCGTAGGCTATTATTTTGGTAGGAGCAGCCAAATTAAACGCCTCTTGCTAAGAATTACTCTATACCTGACCGCAAGTCACTGAAGAATAGGATTCTAATTCAGGTTGAAATGAAGCAAAAGCAAATCAGACTGCTCCATGTTTGCGAGATGCTAATGAACGGAACCGCTTTGTTTTTTTTAAATTAACCTTCCTTTTATGGCTTGCAGACTACGCATTTCAGCTCTTTGTTTAATCCGTTTCCTTGTTCCTGCAGGTTTTGTTCATCTTTGTAGTGTAAACATCTTGCCTGACAAGTTAAAAACTCGGGCAGTGAGCCTAATATCTATTACGTTGGCAAAAATTGCGCTCAGTGGAAGAAGCGGCAAATGTGTGAAATTTTAACCCATCCTAAAAGGCAATGACATTTGGTTGGCAGTTATTAAGATGAGCGCTTGGAGAGAATAGTCTTACAGCTAGAAATAATTTGCACACAAATCGGTGGCTAAGACATCCTGCTTTGTGTTGCCACAGGGGAGCCGGTGACGGTGTACCGTCTGGAGGAGAGCTCCCCAAACACAATCAACAACAGCATGTCCTCCTGGGCCCAGCGGGGCCTCTGTGCCAAAATAGAGTTTCTGAGCAAGGAGGAGATGGGCGGAGGACTCCGACGGGCTCTGAAGGTCCTTTGCACTTGGTCAGAGTACGACATCCTGAAGCCTGGACACCTCTACATAGTCAAGTCCTTCCTGCCTGAGGTGGTCCAGACATGGGAGAGCATCTACAAGGAGGAGACCGTGTTGCATCTTTGTCTCAGGGTGAGAATATTTAGATCTACTTTGTGTTATTCTGCAGTAAAAGGTCTGGGTGTGTCCCCAAAGAGGAGAGATCCAAGAAATGCCAAACCTTGGCAACAGCTTTTCCATGTTCAGTGTTTTCTGTTTCACAACATTTCCCTAATCAATTGCTATGATTTTTGGTAACTTTTCTTTTTCTTTTATCACTCAAGGAAATTCAACAGCAACGAGCTGCTCAGAAGCTGACGTTTGCCTTCAATCAAATCAGGCCAAAGACAATTCCTTACTCACCGAGGTAACCAATCACATCCTGTTCATAGAAACCTGATTATTCATTCATTCCTGGTCATATTTGTTTAGTGTGTAGAACGCTCCTCTTGCAGCTTGTCTAACCTCTGACTCTGAAAGGGGAACCCCATGTCAGTTTCTGCAGTAGTACAATAGTACATTGTTTTAGCGTGATGTCTTTTCTGAAGCCTTTTACCGGACACCATCTGTACCAATGGTTTCTACACTCAACTTATCTAACAGAATGCTTTCCAATTTGTCAGTGGTAGTAAAACTTGCTAACAGTAGTGCCATTTTATTTTCATACAAGTACAGAGAAATCCGGTCAGAAGCAAGAAACTTTTTTTTTTAACGTTCATTAAACACGACATGCCAATAAGCTAACACATGGACAGAAACACTCTTCAGTGCAGAAGTTCTTTCTTGACAGAAGAAACAAAGTTGACAATCACTTACAGAAAGCAGAAGATGTGTAGGAACCAAAATCATTTTATTTTACTCCAGGCAATGTATTGTCTCAACAGTACAACATCATCTGGATAGACAGAAAAAAAATAAAAAAAATTTGGTAGAGGTGCTCCAGTTTCTGGCCGATTACCTAACGATACCACAAAGGACTGTAATCAACGTCGGACTGTTATTTTCCATAGGTTTGACTTGTCAGTCGAACATTTTCTTTAGATGACAGGCTAAAATTCATAACAAGTCTCATTAAGATTTTAGAAAAGAAAGAAGTTGTTTACTATATCAGGTGTCATTATCAAAACATCAAACAATCCTGTTATAATCACACGTTTTCCATTCTGGTGATGCTGCCGTCCCTGTCCTTTAAAAATGATCACCGGTCTTGAGCCGCGCTCATCATTCTGTGTGTTCAGGTTTCTGGAGGTATTCCTGCTGTACTGCCACTCAGCTGGCCAGTGGTTTGCCATTGAAGAGTGCATCACCGGCGAGTTCAGGAAGTTTAACAACAACAACGGAGACGAGATCGTTCCCACCAACCTTCTGGAGGAGACCATGCTGGCCTTCAGCCACTGGACGTACGAGTACACCCGGGGAGAGCTGCTGGTGCTCGACCTGCAGGGTAAGACGGGTGTATGTGCGCCAATGCCACATTTATTCTTTAAAAAAATTAGCCGTTTCTTGTAATGCCGCTTTCATTTGCAGGCGTCGGGGAGATCCTGACGGATCCGTCTGTCATTAAGAGCGGGGAGAAAGGGTGAGCGTTCTCACAACATGGAGTCGCCATTTTCTCATTTAATCCTGATCAAGTCAAGAGTTCAGGAACTGACTTATCCCTCTGTCTCTGCTGCAGATCGTACGACATGATATTCGGACCTGCCAACCTTGGAGACGATGCCATCAGAAACTTCCGGACTAAACACCACTGCAACTCCTGCTGCCGGAAACTCAAACTTCCTGGTGGGACGAGCTTTCGAGCTGCTGACTGGTTGCTTAATTTCATATGGGAATTGTTGGCAACACTTTATTTGAAGGGGTGTGCATAAAACTGACATGACGCTGTTATAAACATGACATAACACCTGTTATGAACATAAAGGAGTCTTTGTGAATATTTATGACTGTCATGAAGTGACATTCGGTAAATAATGACACTTTTAATGCAAAGTTGTATTAAAACTTCTATTAAAAGTGTCAACTGTATTAACTGAGTGACACTTCATGACATTCAGACATTCATAAAGACTCCTTTATGTTCATAACAGGTGTTATGTCATGTTTATAACAGTGTGATGTCAGTCTTATGCACCCCTACAAATAAAATATTGCCAAATTTAGTCTTCCGCCAAATTTCTCTTATAACAGATATCAAATTACTTTTTATTCTGCACTAAAAAGCTGTTTTATTATGTTAAAAGTCTTCCCCCCCCACCCCCCTCCAAGGTTAAAATTTTATCTTATTTTAACTGCTGTAAATAAAGGCTTCGGAGACTAAATAAAAAAGTTGGAAACTGTGTAACGGCTGCACAAACATGACAGAAAGCTTATCGCAGAGAAACAACCAAAGTTGATGTATTGTTTGGCTTTTAACCTGCCATTTATCATATCTGTTTTTCTTTGTTTTTCTTCCTCTTCAGATCTAAAAAGGAACGACTACACACCAGATAAGGCTACCTTCCCACAGGATGACCCGCCCAACCCAGGGGGCGGAGTCAAAGATTCCCGCCAATCGATGAGACTGATGCTGTGATCAGTGAGACAGTTTTATGTGTGGCTGTCCGCGTGTTGGTGTGTGTTTTTGAGGGGCGACAGAGTTGTATTTTTTTTTCTTTGTTTTTTTTCTCCATCTATTTCAATCAAAGCCAAGGAGCAGGAAGGAGAAGCCAACGAACTGGAAGAATTGCCGCTGTGTTTCTTGTGCATGCAGACATTTGCTATCGTAATCGTTCCGTTTTTAGACACCAGGAGAGGATTTTTAAAAGCATTTTGTACACGTTTCTGAACGTATATGTACACACATGCGTACATATATGTAAGCTGGATATATAAACAGGTACAGTATCATTGCGGAGGCTTTATTTATTTTAGAAGTTTGAGAAGTTGCCTTGTTTCACCAACAAAAAAGCGTTTTTTTTTTTAAAAAAGAACAAAATCAAGTGCATTGTAGATCTGTTACAGCAGCTTCAGACAGGACAACCTGCTAAGACAGTCGCTGCAACTTCGCAGATTGCCACCGTATCACGTCTTTTTAAATGTTTAAAAACGTGTTTTTTTTTTTTTTTTTTTTGTCTTTTTAGCTAATGATAAGAAATACATGAATTTAAAACTCTTGTAAAAAAATAATGATTAAAAAAACCTATGGGCAGATTGCAATGCAACTTTTACAGAAAAAAAATGTATGTAATTTTATTGTATTGAAAGTGTGTCCATCAGAATTTTCCTTTTTAGTTTTTATTGTTACAGAGGTACTATTGCTATATCTTTGTCATCAGCTATTGTATGAGCAAAAACTACAATCCAGTGTATCTTATAGATACAGATATGTGGCATGAGCTCAACAGATTGAAATATTTTATTCAGGGGAACTGACAAATACAAGGGTATTACTGTATACATTTTGTACTGAATATCATTTTAAACAAATAAAATGTCAAACATCATTGTTTCTAAAGCTCGAAAAAGATTTCTTTGTCTTTATTGATATTTTTCCTGCTTCAAAAAAAAAACACATTAAAACACTACTGGAACAGACCACCAGTGTTTGGATATATGTTTCAACAAGTGTAGTCGATCACGTTTTCTTTTTTCTGGCCAGTACCGATTTTTCTTTTTGTGTTTCTTTTTATTTCTTTGTTTTTAGGTCTGACCTACTAATCCCTGATTTATAACGCTGAAAATGTTGGACAGAAGCTTCTTTGACTGAACTAAGAATTTTAACGGTGACAGAAAATTGAAAAAAATTACAAGATTATGCCTGTTTAGGAATCAATGAGCTGAACTCAAGCATGAAAATACATGCTTGGGTAGCTTGGAGTATCTCATCTGCTTGTCACTGATGAGAGCTGTCCAATTTTGCTCTCTAAACAATCATGTATAACGTTTGTCCTCATGGAATTTCCGCTTGCATTGAATTTTGGTGTCTATCGACCTGTTTTGCAACCATGCAAATTTGATCAAGGTTGGTCAAGTAACCAGCCTTGTCAGAAGCAGACTTTTAAAGTCTGGGAGAATGAATGGGCTTTTGAAATTATCAGGCTTATTACTTGCTGGAGAAAGACAATGGATCTTCTGTTGTTCTGCACACTATCTTTTGACATTACCTGCCGGTATTGGAATACACACACACACGATACCTTCTGTTGCGCAGTCTCTGATCACACTGACGGGATCGCTCACCGGCGCACCTGTGTGATAACTCGCTGCTGAAAGGGCTGGGATGTGCAGGTGCTCCTCTGTAAATGTGAGATTTGCATTTCTGAAGTCAGAAGGGATGCTTCTTTACCTCAGTCAAATAGAGTAGACGGCCAGCCTGGGTGAAGACATGCCAAGTTGTGGCACCCCTGAGACACCTCAATTTTTTTTTTCTTTCCATTTTACGACTTGTTTTGTTTATGTTGTGTAGCACTTACTCACATTCACTAGATGATTTTAAAGGGGCACTATTATGTAAAATTGACTTTTGAGCTTTACACTTAATAATTTTATTCCCTCAACAAGAACATACCTGCAGTGTTGCCTTGATTCTGTCATGCATGTTTGAGAAATTATTTAATCTCCCGTGGCAACCATTCAGCTGTACAAAATGCCTTGGTGGACCAAGTTCTGCCAGTTTCTGAGCTTCCACCTCACAGAGCAGCCCGCCCCCAATCAGCTCCTTCAGACTAGGCAGCAGCAATTAGCAAACACCTGGTGGAACTGCATATCTGCTATGCTCATTATGAGTTATTTCTGGTAAAAACATTGTTGAAGTTTAATAGAGGACTTCTTGATAGGGGAGTTTGAGAGCAGGAGTTTCTAAAGAGACAAGAGGCACAATTTCAAGACGTTAAATTACAAAGTTAAATGTAAGTCGCACTTGATATAAATTTTTAAAACTTTTAAAAACTCCTGTTACCCTTTTAAAACTGCATTTCGTAATCCTTTTTCACCTTCACTTTCAGTCTTTGATTCAGCTGGTTTATCACAACATACCCTGCCACAAATGCTAAGGCTAGTTAGCATGCCCACCGATGATGGCGGATATATGGTTTTCCTGGGGTAAGTTCCGGCTCTAAGGCCCTCCTCTTGACTCTGATTGGTTGTTTTTTGACTGGGAGCGATGCATTTATTCAGACGGCAACAGGTGTAATTTCTGGTACAATGCCATTTTACGCCAAAAGATGGCAGTAGTGGTTCATGGGCGAGAGATTGACTTCCAAGCCTTACGAGCCTTCAAACGTTATCACCTGCCCGATCAAATGGATGGAGAAGTTTTTCTGTAAATATGTTACTGTAACAGAATATGTTTTTCTGTAAATATGTTAATGTAACAGAATATGTTTTTATGTTAATATGCACCTTATTAACATATATTCTATTTTGAGTTATTTATGGGTGTTTATTATAAGTAACCGTTAGCCGCTACTAACCTAGATGCTAACTACCGTTAGCCACCGATAGTCTGAAACGATCAGCTGTTGGCATTTTTGCAGAAGTTAGGCTGTAACCGTTACCTGCCGTTAGTCTAAATGTTAACTTCTTTTTCTTTTTTTAAAGGCTTTATCGACTCTGGCTGCCTTAATTTGAGAGTGGCCAGACAGGAAGACGGTGTGGGGCAGACTGCCTAGTCGTACATGGGTTTCTCACGCTCTATTTCTGCTCCCCTTGATTTTAGGTTAGTTATAAATCAGAATAAACCATAGATTTGCTGAAGCATTGGTCCATTATATGTGTAAAATTGGAGACATACTTCTGTTAGTACTATAATGTATGCTGAGTCTATTCCTATTAACTTGTTTTTATTTTGTACATAATAATATGTAACAGACTGTACAAACGACTGTGTAATTATCAAGTTCTTCGCCTACGTTGTTTTTACGCAGAAGAAGCGGCTGAACAGTCACCAGCATCGCAGCGAAGCCACTACTAAAGAAACTGATTTCTGTTTTCATAGAGTAAAGACGCTCTGTGAGTCTGGGCGGCTTGTGAAAGGTTGAACTGCAGCTTTCCAGCCTCCCACAAGGCGTGGCTTAGCTGTTTGATAGGGCGAAGTTTTTTCTCTGAACATCTCATTCCTGTAAACTGAGGACTGAGAGTTCACAAGAACTCTGCCCTCATCACAACTTCTTCTGCAAAACCATGAAGACAGTCACTATTGAGTACTGGTAAGGTTGTTGTTTTTTTTTAGCCCCACTTCCTCTTCTTTAAACACATGTACTTTTGCATTTTAATTGGCAAATATAAAAATGTTTTGTTTGTTTGCTTTGTTTCTTTTTTATGTTGTGCACTTTTGCAGTATAGCTGCTTGCAGAATTATGAAACTCAAGAGTGAGAGGTTGGTTATCTATAGCTCTCATTTGGTTACCTTGATTGTTTTATATTGCAGTAAAGACTGAAGTTATGCATACCGCTACCAGGAACTAGCCGGCGTTCTCCGGCAGATTCCTGGAGTGAAGGTAAAAGGAGTCACTGGGAGGACAGGTATTCTGAACTATTGGTTTTTATATATTTACGGTATATTTAATAAGTAATATACCTATATATATATATATATATATATATATATATATATATATAGTTTTTTTTAAGTTAATGTTTCATTCTTCATAATTTTTTTTCACCTCCATAGATAGCTTTGAGGTATCCCTGGAGGATGAGCTTCTCTACTCAAAGCTAGAGACGAAGTCGTTTCCAGATCCTGAGCAGGTTTGTGGTTTAGCTCAAACTTTCTATTCAAAAGCACTTCTTTAAACGCTGAATAGGATTTCCCTTTTGCTGTCCAGTCATTTCACTTTTTTGTATGCGTTTGTTTTTCTTTTGGATACATAAAAAAGCTGACATGTCTTTCACAACGTGTTTATTTGAAGTCAACAAAAGGAGAGTCACATTTGCTTTGCATGCCTTTGCGCCTCATGTTTAGATGGCGGAGAAGTTGATGGAGAAGCTTCCTGATGGCAACGCCAAGAAGAAATCCAAGAGACGGATATGCTCTGTCCTGTAAAAGGTGGAGAAACAAACAGTTATATTCACACTGGCAAAAAAAAACAAACGAAAAAAAACAGTCCATAAACCTGTTGTGCACGTCCGGAGTATGAAAATTAGAGTAAGGATTTTAATTAATGGATGCAAAATCTGTGTGTGCCAAAATGAAAAGATCTGATATGGCTCTGTCGCGGCTGTGAATATAAACAAGATGTTTGTGAGAGCGGCTCTCTGGATCCAGGCGGCGATCGACGCCTCTTTTTATGAATGCACACACCTAAAACCCAAGTGGTGTGTGCACGATGCAAGTCGAGAAGCTTCTCGGCCGCCTGGAGCCCGACAGTCTGCTTCAGTCTCATCAAAGTTATGAGAAACGGAGGGAGAAAAAAAAAACAGATGCTCCTAATGAAGATTTGTATATATTTGGGGATTTCTTTGTTTATACTACTGAACAGAATCTACGTGCGTGTGGGAGTTTTTAATCGCTCCTTAGAGTCTACTACGCCCCAGACTCTCAGGAACATTCACTTAATCTTTGCAAGATGTATTTGATGTTTTTATGATCTAAAATATCTCATTAATATCCGTTTTCCTCTGTCAAAGCATCATTACAGAGGAGCAATAAAAACATAAAATCTGGTCTCATAATTCTATTTTATATTTAACCTAATCTCTGACCCACTTCTATTCCCATAATATCCTGCTGACCAAAAATAAGCTGCAGAGCTGAGAAACATGTTTTTCAGATTGTGTGTCATGCCCCACTGGGGAACAGGGAAGCCTGGGAACATAAGACCAATAATGCCTGTACTTAATAAACATTTTAGTAGCACATAACATTCAACACATGTGTGTATATATCTGTATCTATAGATGTATGCATATGTATTCCCCCCAAGACAGATCAAATTTGACTGATACCATTAATTTGGGTGAAGCAAATGTTGGTTTATATTAGCTTAGCTTTGTTATTATATAAAATATTTCTTTATCAAATCACCTGCATAACATTAAAAAGTTTTTTTGTAAGTAGCCAAAGCTATAATTTTCCCAGAACTTTTATTTTATGCTATTTTATGCTGTTAACTTCCTGCTTGTAGTTTTTTTTTTTTAACCTTCAGTTATGTTTTTTTTTTTTTTTTTCCCTATCTTGAATCTGAACATAAATGCCACGATTTCTGCCATTTACAGACTTTATGCTAAGTTGCGCTAACTGGCTGCTAGCGTGGGAGATTTTCTTTTGGGTTGTGTTTAACGTGGGAGTATTTGGGTAAAGAAATGCCAGACATGTTTACTTTGGATATTTATGACAAACCTCACAACATGAACAACTGTACAATAACATTATAAAGCAAAGTGCTACATGGCCTGTAGTTGGACTCTTGAAACACTGCTCCTGTAACATATTTTGTTCCCGTTCAATAAAATGTAACTGATTGCCATCGCCTGTGTTGACATTTTCTCTCACACACCAACTAGAAACTGATGGCTACGTGGGCAGATTACAGGCAAGACGAGGCATGTACAGAATAAGACCAGCTGTCTAGACCGATAATAGAAAACAGAACCTTTCAGGTCTTTAGTTTCAACTTTTTGCATCACATAACATGTGAAAACTAGTGATTAAAAAAGAAACTTCTAGCTGAAACCTTTGTATGCTCACCAGGTACAGGTTCAGTAGGTAGACCTTGCCAGCACCACCTTTGTTGCCTTGAAAACCGCTCCTTTTTTTCCATTGAATGAGTCAAACGCTTCATTGAATCAAGACCACAGAGATTTAGCTCCATGTAGCATGTAGAAAGTCAATTAAACCCCTTTATCCTCCGTTCTGGAGCTACATCAGAACTTAATTGAGTCGTCCTTATAAAGTCTAGATAGCTATTCGCATCAAGTTACGCATTTGCCTTTTCAAAAGGGTCAAACAGTATCTGAACCATGAACTCAAACTCAAGAGCAGTTGAAAGAGAATCAAAGCAGAAGAAGAAAACTCCCCCGCCTCCCTCTTTGTGTCTCTGCTCGGCTTTCTAACCAGACTCGGATTTAAAGATGAGCGGCAAAAACAAATGAATCAGCAGTGCTTGCCAACTTCTGTTGATGTTGTCTAGAACATGTTATGTAAAATATAATGTTTTCTGCTGATATCAAATTGTTAGCATGTCATAGCAATCATCAGACTGTCATACAGCAAAGGTCTTCAGTCAGAGGCTTCTTCAGACGTGTTGCAAGACTGACTGCTACCACAGCATCACCATCTATGACGACATTTTATTTTCCGTTTGGGTTAAGTAAAATACTTTTGAATTGAGTTGAGGTAACTGGGTTGACTTCTGCTATATGTTAGCAAGCGATAGAACAGGTATATCCAATAAAGTGGTTATAAAAAAGGACTTTTCTCCACAAAGAAAATTGAAAATGAATAAAATTTCATCAGTTTAAACATCAGATGGCGTCCATCGCTTTAATTCAGTACCTTTTTCATATCTGACGGAGGTCGTTCTACATGATCTTGGCACTGCTTAATGCCTCGTATAATTTATACCAATGCAATACATACTGTATACTGCTACATTCATACTGCTACAAGTTCACTTGCTTACCGTAACACAACAAACAGGAAACAGGAAGCCACATCACAGCCAGTTTTAGCTAAGGTTTGACAGAATGGAGAAACGCTTCAGAGAGCAAGAAGTGAAACTGGATTGTGTATGAAAGGAAATGATCTGTTTCAGTGCTGCAGGTCCCAGCAATAGCCTTGCTATTGCAGAATGAGGGCAACCTCGGGTTGCCCTCATTCTGAGTTCCATACAGACATGAAAACTGTCATGTGTCACACACATAAAACCCCTAAAAAAAATTAGAGTCCACGGTAATGAACCCCCATTGAAAACCTCACGGTTATTCCTCCAAATATTGATTTCTTAACTCATTGATATTGTTTCTAAATTTTTTATTTATTTATTTTTTTTTTGCATTATTTGAGGTCTGAGAGCACTGCATCGTTTTGGTTATTTTGACCATTTTGAAAATAAATACTAAATTCTTGCTTGGCATTTCGGAGACATGATGCCAGTAGTTCATAGAATAAAAGAAAAATGTTCATTTTACTAAAACATACACCTATAAAGAGTAAAATTTGAGATTTTTCCAGAGCTGTATGTATTCATATATGGCATATGTACTTACTCACCGCTGAAAGTATCTTTCAAACATATTTTATCCAACTCAAAGGTCCTTTCCACTTCCAGCTGTACAGTAGTTTCACTAAACCAGCTACAGAAATTATACAGTTTTTTTTCACTTTTGTACTAATGGGGGAAAAATGTTGTGCTGATTATTATTTCTATTTTTTCTCACAGATTATCCAAATTCATAGCTTATGTTCTTTCACTTAGCTTTCCAGTCATATAATGTGATTCTTATCTGTGACATTGTTGTTTAGATACAACCTGTCAGTACAGAAACCTAAAACTTTTGCATCAAAGAGATTAGTTTGATATCTGGACAGTGTCATTAAATTAAACTTAATGGAACGAGGTTATATTTCTTCTGGGTAAAGGTTGATTCATCCATTTGCATTGGTATGTTTTATGACTTTTCCCTTAATTTGGGGGCTTTGCTTTTACTTCTCAAGTAAAAAAAAGATTTGTAATGAAAAATAATGGTTAGCATACAGTTAATGTTTACATACTGTCCATGTGTAATAATAGTACGTGGTAAAGTGGTAGGCCTCATAAAGTTGTTGATCATTAACTGTAGCCTTGATTAGGTACTTAATTACATATTTATATATAAATATATACATAGGTCCTTGTTATCAGCTTAATTAAATAAGCTTGTTCATTTTTATTAGTCATAAATTCTTTACAATGGAAGTGTTTTGTGATTATAAAAACATATATTTTCATGTTATATGTCTGCCTTTTCTTTACGAATGCACTTAAAACAGTATTTTAAACTGTACAAGAATGAAGAACATTAATAATCATGCTGTAAGATTAATTAAAAAGGAATTGAGAATGAATGAGCTTCAGCTGGTTAAATATTTTTATTTGATCAAACTCTTTTTTTTGTATGAAAACTGAATCTAGCTGCATAATTTGTTTTTCTAAATGTCCAACAACAACCTCATCATCACAGGCTGGTTGCTTTAAGGTTTAAAGATTGTTACCCATCTTATTTATTATTTCAAATAAATAATTATAATAATTTTAAAAAATGGATCAGTCTTATTGAATCGATCTGGTGCAGTTTCTTGGTTCTGTGGGTCATTTCTCAGCGGTTCAGGATGCAGAGAAGTTGCCCTGATGTCGGACATTGACGTGAACTATAGAGGACTACTTTGCCAAAAGAGAAATGATCTTTTAAATCTTTCTTTTTTTGTTATTCTCCTTTTACTATGTTTGTGCTTCTTTTTCAATTGTATTTTCTTTTCTTCTTTTTGCACTACAGCTGTTTTTCTGAGACGTATGTAGCTGTACGTGAAGGTAAAATTACTTTTGGACAGTTTCTGATTTGCTTAGAGAATTGGAGTTTAAATTTTTAGATGATTCGTTTAGGCCATCTTTTCTTGCACTTTTGGACTGTAAGAAAAATGACATTAAATTTAACAGAGTACAAGAAATATACCACACTTTTCAGATGGTTATTTCATCTACAATGTTGAATAGTGTTGCCAACTTTTTGTTTGTCCAGGTTTAGTTGACTTTTGTAAGCTGTACAAGCTTTACCAACTTACAACCAGCAGGAAGTTTAAACAGGAGGAAGTATGAGAGGTCAGCGCTTCGAAACTGAGTGTGTTGATAACAATACTGTGCATTTGAAAGCTGATAAAAATATAACCTGCCATATTTCCTTCCTCGTTCATTCATAGCTGCTTTACGTTTCTCAACTCTGTTTTCTCAAAATAGATAACTCATCTTAAGCTAAGCTGGTTTGTGTGCTGTTAAACTACTTCCTATTTTTTCAGTTGTCCTTACATTTAAATATACTTGCAAACAGGGGAGGAGGAACAAGTTAGCCTTTGCTCTATGGCCCCCCAGTGGCAAAGACTGGCCATAGACGGGAGCCAAATATCAGATAAATGAAGCTTTCTCCAGTCACATCAGTGCAGACAATTAAGATGTTCGCCTTACAAAAGTGAATCTGGTTGGATGAGGTACAACCAGTTTCCTGCATGCAGTATACGAGCCACTGTTTCAAAAAGGGGAATTTTTTGCGTTTCATTCTTAATTTTGTTTTAAAAGCGATTAGGACACGTTTGTACTGTTTAGGTCATTTTTTGCAGCCACACAGACTACCGCAGTACCCAGCGCTGGTGCAGTGACAGAACAAAGTGTCCCCTTCTATGTCAGGGTTCCTGTAGATTTCACCAACTCAGATTTGACATTTTTAAGACCATTATGAATAACATTCAAGTCATTTTCCCTCAGGAGACAACAACTTTGACCTTTTTGGGGTGTTTTGTAGTACTTGTACCTCTCACATGGCATATGGCTTCGACAGCCTAACCCACGTAGTTCGGAGCTAGCCAACTGCCGATAAATCTACTCTTAGAAACTAAAAAACTAGAAGTCCAAGAAGCTTATTACCGTTTGCCTTTACCCCTTGTGATAGGACGCAGTGAGTTGGCCTGATGGAAAAGTCCTGTAAGAAAAAAACCTACATAGCCAGGACAAAATTTAAAGACTTGCCATTGCATATTTTAAAGCCTTAATTTTAGATGCATAAATGACTTTTTAATGAGGATTTCATTTTTTGCTCTGCAGCTAAATTTAGAAGCCATAATTTCACATTTTGAAATAAGCAGAGGTGAACAAGAGTAGCACTACTTCAACTTTTCACTCAAGAAAATGTCAAAACAAAGAAAAAAATTGTCCAAATGAATTTCTTTTAATATAAAACTAACAAAAACTATAGGTGTTTTTCATTCAGTTGTTACGCTGTGTATCCAGAAATTTTACGAGCTTAAATGCAACTTTCAAAGCTAATTTGGTTATTTTTGGTTTCATATAGATGTCACAAGGATCATATTGACTGAATTAGCCTCAGATGGATCCGTTTTATGATCACATCCCTTTACTGTAAGCAGAGCCCTATGCTGCTGGGATGAGACGACAGAACAACATATCTTATTAATGCTGAAGTGTCTGCACGTGAAGGGGATGGGCTCCGGGACACGAATTATAAAAACAAGACGCCAGCTTTTAGAAGAAAACATCACACACAAGCCAGAGAATCAAATTTCACAATTTATTTTATTAAAAAAAGAAGTCAAATAAATATTAGAAAATATGTTAACATTTTTTTGGAGGGGGAATGCAAGATGCGATTAAAAATGTGCCCAATTGGTCACTGGTTTGGTTGATGAATATGAAATATTTCACCAAGTCAGCACCACTGTGAGGTCATTTTCATTTTGCAGCTCTGCTGACCTTGTAAGACC